ATATATATATATATATATTATAAAACCATACTTTTTTTTTATAAAACACTTGCATCCACGTGACGCTCCAATATTAAGCTCCGTTGTCTATGACATATACAATGTCTTCTTTTATCTATTCAGCACGAAACATTATATGTGCGAGTAGCGACAGACAGAGTCTGACAATGGGCAGCAACAACGACAGCTGGTGGGGGCAGGCAACGACGGTTGATGGGGGCAAGCAGCAAGTGGCGGAGTTGGTGTGTGTCAAGCCGACTAGTGAGTCGGCTCGATAAGCGGCTCCTGAACAATTGAGCTAGGTGAGCTAACAAGCCCAGCTCAAGCTAGCCCAAAATCAACTTGATTATAAAATATTAATATAAAATATACTAAAAATATATTAAATTTGAATATTTTATATTTAAAAGTATTAAGAATGTTTAAAATAATATTTTATATCTTATATTAATTAATTTTGTTCACTTTCTCTCAAAATTACTCATTTTATTTGCCATTTTATTATAGCACAACCTTGTATTAATATTATTTTCACTCTTTTATGTTAAACAAGCCGGCTCGGACTCGTACACTTTAAACTCGAGCTCGATAAAATAAATCAAGCTCAAGCTCAAGTCAGGGTGGCTCAAGCTCGACTCAGACTCGTTTACACCCCTAGTGCAGAGCTTAAACTCGACTTAAATTTTTTTTAGTATGGGCATTACTTATTTCATTTCATTTTGGGCATAGTCATTTTAATTTAATTTTCAATGAGTTTATTTTTTCTTAAATTATATGAAAATTGTTATTTTCCTTCTAATTTTGGCTATTCTTAGTAACAATATTTTTCTTTTGTGAGTAAAAAATAAGTTTATATAGATAACTCTCAATGAAAACAAAAAAAGCCTTCTGAGGTAATGTAATGCACTGCTAAAAATCTGCCTTCGTCGCAGCCCAAACTAACTCTCAATAAAAACAAAAAAAACGCTTGCACCAACCGAAAGTTCTAAAATTTTGCCGCCCCTACCCCTCCCTAAGCCCGGAAGAGCAGTTTCGCCCGACTTCCCTCTCTACCGGCCGTCTTTTCGCTTTCGTTCTTTGAGTTGCGCGCGAGCTGCGAGGCTCTTCTTCCCTCTCCGATCGTTCGAGCTGCGAGGATCTTCGTCTTCCTCCAATTATTCGAAGGCATTCTTACCCATTCACTCGCCAACCGCAAGGATCTCTCTCTCGTCCAATTATTTGGTTGTAAGAAGCTTCTCCAACCTCTATTTCTTTATTTGATTGCGTATAGTTGTTGCCATCCTCTTGATTCATCTTTGATGTGTAGTCCGCACACTTTATGGTTGCGATTCGTTTCTTTAGTTCGGGATTCATAAGGAACCTAAGTAAAATCTGTGCTAAAACTTTTTGTCCGTAAACAAATGTTGTTCATATGGCTTAGGTTTGGCTTGCTTTCTTTATTTGTTGCATGCATGCCGGATTTTTTATCTCGTTCTGAATTTTCCCCTAAATCTTTATTCTCAAGAATGTCTTAATCCATCTCTGTGATGTATTTTTAATAGGATTTTTAATTAAGCTGACAGCAATTTAGTTCCATTTACTTGATAGCTTATGGATTTCATTTCAGAGATTTTTAATGATCTTATCTACCATTCGTTATCAGTTTGCAGTCTTTAAATATGAAGAATCTCAACCTTCCTTGATTCATGTTTAAATAAAAGAAAATCATCATGGTTATTTGTTATTTTATAATCTCATTTTTTCTTTAACTAAGACCTCTATTTGCTTCTTGAAATGTATGTAATTATTTTGGATCTCTGTTTTAGTAGCCTTGGGCTTGGAAAAAATGCTTTAGATTATATGTTTCAAATTTATTTATGTTTAGAAAGAACTTTTTAATACATATTTGTAATTGGTGCATCGTACCAAGATGTATAAATATGGTTTGGGACAGTTTGTGAAAGGGTTTCTTTGAATAGAGAACTGGTGCTGGAATTTCTTGTATCCAATTCTAATATGATAGAATATCTTTTTGACTTGACATTTTTTTGTTTGCAATGTATCAAGAGAGATTTTCAACTGGTTTTAAAAAAAATTACATTAATCAGCTATGTCACATTTTACCTTGGAAAGAGCAGTCACGATCGTCTAAAGAGGGGTGCAAATGAATAGGGAGATAAGATTTGATGGACGTACAATTGATGTTTCTAGGGTGACAGACTAGATTCTTTTATCAATTTCATCTAGAGATTATAACTAAGAGTCACTGATAGGTGCTATAGAGAGGGCACAGTGGGTAATCTAGAAGTGAGAGACTAGAATCTACCCAACACTACTATACATGTCGACAACAACTTTAGATAAGTCAATGTTCTTTGAAAAATTCGAAAGAAAGTAAAGAAATAAATATGTTCCTATTTGTCACAATACCACATTTAAGTTTCTAAACAAATTTTGAAATCCTACATTGATTATGAATTATTGACAAGGAGAAAGTCTCTTTTTATATATTGTTCAAGTCATTACATTTACTTTTATTTGCATATTGTAGAACTTAGTAAACTTAATTTTCATCTGTAGATAGTTGCTGCAATCTTAAGTAAAGTTTTCTTAAAAGAAAAATTCTTATATTTCATTTTTATTTTTTACTTGTTTTCGGCTTACTCGTGGGATCAATACTGAGGTTTTTAAAGAAAACTCTATATTACTTAAAACGATACACATACTTGCATAGTATCCCTAGTGAGAAAACGATTTCTTTAATTTTTATAATATTATATTTATTCTCACTAGACACTAAATATCATTTAGGTCAAGTTTTTGATATATTAAGGAACATAAATATCTGTGTAATTGCAGGTCGGGTCAGCCCGCAAGTAACTCTCCAACCCATTTGTCCTCAACATATGAGGATGTCATGCAGGGGGACGATCTATGTACAAGTTGTAATATTCGCACATCAAACATACGACAACTGCAATTCTCCTTCTGCGCCTTTCTCTGGTTACATCCATGTAGATCGGTATCGTGTTGGCTAACACATAAACATCAATGAATTAGTTAAAATCATATAAGGTTACGAAAAACACAACAAACATAAAAGCATCACTGAATAAGTCATGTCCCAAGCAGTTGGAAAATACAAAACAAAATGAAAAATAATAAACAAATACAAATGTCCCAAACCATTGTAAATAAAAAAAATGCTCTCAAATGTTCATGCGCTCATAAAAAAGTCGTAGATATGCCACCCTATGGTTCGAGCATCTTTACGAAAAAATCTATATAGATCGGATCTTCAAGCAACTCTATCACAAACAAGTAGTGGTTCATCCTAAAAAATTTTCTTTGTTGCATTCAAGATTTGCAGAACCTGGTCGATAGAATTTGCTTAAAGTGTGTGGGCTTCAGCGTTGCAAGAAAACACCAACTGTGATATCTGACTTCTAAGGAAAGCAGCCCCAACTTTCTTTTTATTCTCAACCCACAAACGTTTAGAACAAGAGGTAGACTCAAGTTCATGGAGGTTCGAGTCGGGGGCTTCGGTTGAATCACATGATTAATAAGCTTCTAAGTTTTCGGGGGTGCCACCAAACCCTGTCTCACTTACGCTCATAGCAACGACACCCCAAATAGTCGATCCAACTTCTCCTCTAACTCAGGATCAAGTCCACAAATTTTAAATTTCTTTGTTGCAGACACCACTTACAAATTCACAACTTACACTTCAAATTAAAAACAAAATGAAATTGACCAAATTAGAGGACATGTCAAAAATGCTTATCGCAAGTCTTTCTTCCCACCACTCCTTGGGAGCATTAATGGTTCGCTTCACCGGATCCCACCCCTAACCCTTTGATCATCGTTTCAATTCCTTCCAAATTTTCCAATATTTATTGAGTTGATCCCACTTGTTCTTCAATTGCATCCTATCGTACTCTCCGTCCGTACATTCTTTAAATTTTAAGATAATATTTTACACCCTTTCTTGTTGAAATAGGTAGTATGCCTATTTCTCAAATTGATCTCCTTGAGGTAAATGTCACAAAATATTATTTTAGTTTCTTTGTCCTATAATGCGAGCGTATCAATCTCTTTGGTCTTAGCCATTGTATTACCATGCTAAAAAAGAATAAAGTTGCATAAATAGAAATGCAACAAAATATGAACATGACAACAATGAACCACCCCAACCACAGCCAAAACCACTGTCCCAAGCCACAACCAAAAACGACCACCCCAAGTCACAACCATCACCCCAAGCTACAACCACCACCCCAAAGAAATTTCGTGATGTTTTGTGATGTAATGCTTCACTACATGAAGTTTCTGTGTGAAAAAAATTTCTTTTTACCATAATCATTGAAATTGGGTTAGTATGAGCATGATGAAGCACTCCATGTATTTGTCTCCTAGCAGTGATGATACTGATCATGACAATGATGATCAATGAAAATATACTTTTGAGACATTTCTTATAGAATTTTTCAAAGTAAACCCAAAGCCTATCAATGCATAATATTCTCTCAAAGAAAGTTTGTAATGTTTTGTGATGTAATGCTTCGCCCCATGAAGTTTCTGTGTGAAAAAATTTCTTTTTACCATAATGTTTGAAATTGAATTTGCATGAGCATGATGAAACAATTCATTATTTGTCTCCAAATAGTGGTGATAGTGATCATGACAACGATTATCAATCAAAAAACACTTTTGAGACATTTCTTATAGATTTTTTCAAAGTAAACCCAAAGCCTATCAATGCATAATATTATCTCAAAGAAATTTTATGATGTAATGCTTCACTCCATGAAGTTGTTGTATGTGAAAATATTTTTTTTTACCATAATCTTTGAAATTGGGTTAGCATGAGCATGATAAAGCAATACATGTATTTGTCTCCTAGCAGTGGTGATAGTGATCATGATAATGATGATCAATCAAAAAGTACTTTTGAGACATTTCTTATAAACATGATAATGATGATCAATCAAAAAGTACTTTTGAGGCATTTCTTATTTTTCAAATTAAACTCAATATCTATCAATACATAATATTCTCTCAAAGAAATTTTGTGATGATGTGTAATGTAATGCTTCACTCCATGAAATTTCTGTGTGAAAATAATTTTTTTAGGATAATCTTTGAAATTGGGTTAGCATGAGCATGATGAAGCAATCTATGTATTTGTTTCCTAGCAGTGATGATAGTGATCATCGCAATGATGATCAATCAAAACATATTTTTGAGGCATTTCTTATAGAATTTTTTAAAGTAAACCCAAGACCTATCAATGCATAATATTCTCTCAAAGAAATTTCGTGATGTTGTGTGATGTAATGCTTCACTCTAAGAAGTTTCTTTGTGTGAAAAGAATTTCTTTTTACCATAATCTTTACAATTGGGTTAGCACGTGCATGATGAAGCAATCCATGTATTTGTCTCCTAACAGTGATGATAGTGATCATGACAATGATGATCAATAAAAATCTATTTTTGAGGCATTTCTTATAGAATTTTTCAAAATAACCTATTAATGCATAATACTCTTTCAAAGAAATTTTGTGATGTTGTGTGATGTAATGCTTCACTCCATGAAGTTTCTGTGTGTGAAAAGAATCTTTTTTTACTATAATCTTTGGAATTGGGTTAGCATGAGCATGATGAAACAATCCATTTATTTGTCTCACAGATGGTGATAGCGATCATGACAATGATGATCAATCAAAACGTACTTTTGAGGCATTTCTTAAAGAATTTTTCAAAGTAAATCCAAAGTCTATCAATGCTTAATATTTTCTCAAAGAAATTTTGTGATGTTGTGTGATGTAATGATGATCAATTTTACTTATGACTTAAATACAGTTACGATGATAATTTCAAAACAAAGGAAGACTATACTAAGAAAAAACAAAAGCAAAAACATGGGGTTACAAATAAAGATTTGACAAAAAGAAGGCACAACAAGTTTCGTGAGGACTCCGGAGTGGTGGTGTTAGATCGGTGGTTGCGGTGAAGGCCGAAGAGGTCTTATTGTTGGGAGGGATGAGCAGCAAAACAATGAAAGTAGGAGTGTCGAATCGCAGTTGGAGGAAGCTAGGAAGGGGCAGCGGTGGCTGCGGCTTGTAGAGAAGCTGCAGGAAGGAGGTGTAGCTTGCAGGGGCAGGGAGCGACTGCTGAGGATGTTGATGGTGTCGGGAAGAAGGTTGCAGCCTGCTAGGGAGAGGCGACAACTTGTTGGAGCCTTCAGAGAAAGCTGCAACCTGTTGGATGACGGTGGCAGAGGGTTGAAACGTAGGACAAGGGGGTTGCAGCCTGGTGGAGGACGACGGCAGGGGCTGGAGCGGGTTGCGGCTTGTTGGGAGGGAGGCCGCAGTTGGATGGAGTCAGACCTGCGGTGGTTGGGAAGGAGTAGGAGCGATGGTGACCTGTTTTAGGAGCTGGACAAAAATAGGAAAGGGGCTGGACAAATAGATAAGTATCTCGACAGGGTTGAGCTACAGCTGGAGCACCACCTAGACCCATGGAGACAACCACCACCTTAGACTAGGGACTGCCGAAGCACTATCTCGACGTGGGATACAAACCTCGACGGGAAAAACTCTAGGCTAAGACTTGAATTCAGATATCAAAACAAAGACCCCCTCAACTCCAAGAACCTCGTCTCCCATTTATAAGGTGACTCGACCTATGCTAGGAAACACTTAAAATGAGATGAAGAATAAAATCAAAATTTAGGAAATGATTTAAATTAGGAAGGGACTAAGAAGGAAAATAAGAAAAGTAGAAAACAAAAGAAAAAGGAGATAAGGGAAGAGGAAGGAGGGGGAGGCATCCCCCCTCTCTTAACGACCCTCCGATCCAGCCTCGAGACCTGCGTCACTAGGGTCATCCATGAGTTGTTGACCTAACTCGCTGCCTTTCTCTTCTGGCAATATGATGGGCTCTACCCATGGGTGCAGCAGCTGCCAAGTGTTGAATTATACGTTCTTCAAGTTCACTCTTAGTTGCGCCAACTCGTAAATGTTGCAATTCAAACTCTACAGGTGCAGGGTGGTAAAAAATTACTGTGTTTTGAGTTTGATTAACCCTAACCCTAATTTCCCTTTTTTTCTCTACAACTTCAAGAAGTTCTTGGCTAGCAGAATCCTTCAAGTTTATAGGCCGCCAACACATAGGGCACTGAGAGCTCCTTTGGCACCACTCTAAAATGCATTGGAGATGGAATTCATGCTTGCAATCTGTCACTGTTGACAGGTCGCTATCACAAAAAGCTTCAATATATATGTTGAATGCATCATCACAAACATCTTGCACGCCTCCTTTTACAAAAGCTGTTGCAGATGCGAGGTGGCTCTGCATCTTCTCATTTTCATCCATCCTTGCACAACTAAAGAGCTTCGATTTTTATATTTTCTCTCTTGTTGCCCACAAAGCTGAATTGAAACCCATCGCTGCAGGGATCTACTTCGGCGGCGAGGGCTTGCAGACAGCCTGCAGGGAGAGAAAGCGTCCCTTCCTTCCCGCAAAGAGGATGTTAGGAAGAGAGTCCGACAGCTTTGGAGGGAGGACCCGCGGCTAGGGAGGAAATTTGGCCTCTGATACCATGTTGAAATTTAGAATAATTTGAACTAAAACAAAATTATTTTATTGATATTAAAGGGTGTATAGATAACCCTTACATGAATCATTAAATAGGAAAGATAAAAAAAAAAATGAAAGAAAGATATATCACCTAATATCTTCAATTAATTAATTCATATTATTATTTAGAGATAAAGGAAACAATATAAAATAGGAAAACCTAAAATAGATAAGGAAATAAATCCAATTTAAGAAAATAAATATAAAATAGGAAAAAAAATAACACCTGATCTAAGCTTATAATTTATTCCTCATAAATTCTTACATGAATAAATTATTTCCTAATATAACTTCTAACAGTTAATATAAAATTGTTTTGGTGAATTATTGGTGAGTATGCTAAGAATAGGGTTAGTGTTTACGCTCTTTAATTTTAGTTTATAATATCATTTGAAGAATTAATTTCAAGAAGGCATGAATTAATTACTACACTATCACAACTGCACATGTGGAAGATAGATTAAGTATTGTTGGTGACATATTAGTAAGATGATTTTTGGGAGAATTTTATAATGGATATATATTAGGGTGCAAAAAAATGTCTGATAGTATGATTTAATTTCATTGTAATTTTAATCTTATACAATGAAAATTCTATTTGGAAATGAGAAAAAAAACTAGTTTACTTTAAAAAATAAAGTTTCGAGTCCTTGCTGAAACAAAGGGGGGAAATGAAATGCATGTAAATTGCAATGCGATCCTAAAAAGAGATTTGAGCATCCAATATCGACTATGATTATAAGTTTAGATCTTAGCAGTTAGAAATATAAAATAATAAAACAAAACTAAAAAGATTTCAATAAAAAAAAAAAGTTGTAAAACAAAATTCCCAAGATAAGTCTTAAAAAAAGATCAAAGGTGAGAAGCTATTTGTTTTCAATTAGATGCTTAAAAGAACTACATTGTACATTGGTATCTAAAGTGGCCAATTATAATAAGAAACTTACCATATTTAAAAAAAAAATTTTAGGACCATATATTATAAAAATTTTTAGTTGAGATGAATCTCACTGACCTGCATAAAGTGCTGTTTTAATTGATTGTGGTACCAAGGGTGGAGGTGCCAACTAGTCTATTCTTGGTACTGTGAGGTACTTGATTATTGTCAATGGAGATGCAACAAATATGGACATCTTTATGTCTTCGGAGATTGATTCTTGGTGGCTAGCAGACCTACAAAAATGGATACATGGGCCTAGGTTGAGTGTGGTTGTTCACCCGCATAGGTGGAGTGTGGTTGTTCACCCTAAGATTGTTGTTTATTAAATTTGCTCAATAAGTTGAAAAGGATAAATCAAGTCAGTTCAATTTAAGCTCACTCGCTAAAGCTAGGATTAATCAATTAAATTAAGAATTTAAGCAAGTTCTACTTTTTAAGCTTATGTTAATCAGAGTTCTACCTCTATTTGGTTATATTTGATCTGGACTTAAGGAGCGATATTTTGCTTGTTGATGAGCCATGCAACATGTGAATGATAAAAAAATGAAGTTGCTAGAGTTCCATGCAATTCAACTAGGAAAATTGAGTTCTTATAGATTAGACTATTGAATATCAGTGATTTTAGATTTTTAAATGACATTTGGTGGCCCAATTTGAGAAAATGAGTATGTTAGTGACAGTGGGAGTTTTATAAATATATATAATATATTGTTAGCATTTTATGTGACACTCAACTAATGAATAGATGGACGATGATTCATAAGACAACATAAAATAGATATGTAAGGCTAATGATGATGATGTGACAAGTAATAATTATTGCTCTTTATCTATTGGTAGAAATTTATGTTTGATTTTTTATATTTCTTTTTGTTTACCATGTTGTTATAGTGGGTAATGAGATGGAGGGTTTAGGATTAGGAAAGAGTTGAAGTATGAATGATGAGGGTGTTCATTAGCGTTGTCAGGGGAAGTAGATATTTACTGGTTCTTCTGAGGCATAGGAATGTAATCATATGAGAAATGTATTGTTGGGATGTTCATGGAACTTAAAAAGGTAAAATTGTTAAAAATTCAATTAAACCAATCTAAGTATGCAGTTGATTTGAGGTTGGACGTTATGAATGTGATAGAAACAAGTGCTGCCAATTTGGATAGTATAGATTGAGAGATTGATATATGATATATCTCATGAAGTAGAACTATTGAAGATGAGGTGGTGAGAAAATTATACTTAATTTGTTTTGGGAGCATATAATAGAGGGTAGAAAATGCATTAACAAGAGAGTCAGATAACTTTAACGTGGAGGATTAGGATGAATAAATGGTTAACCAAAGAATGCATATAGAAGTGTTGTAAGAATATTTTCGAGAAATATATTTAACAACTCTAATAGCACTCAACATGAGATAATGCTGGTCGATATATTTGTCTCGAAATAAATTGAAGGATGCTAACATGATGATTATGATTACGTTATTGGGATGTTAACTTTCATCAAATCATTTTAGAAGAATAGATATAGAGACTAACTCCAGTTTCTAAGGATGACAATACTTCAACAAATGAAATTGTTGGTGCTAGGCAACTTTTGATTTTTTATGCAGGCTTTATGCAAATAGGATCTTTTATGCGAGGATGTCAGAAAGAGGGAAGCGTTTGAAATGACAAGGGTTGCTACTTTTATTTTGGCATCATTTCAACTTTAAGATCCTCCATTGGTAATTTTTTTTTAATCTTCATTTTCGAAAGATCAAAAATGCTACAATTTTTATTTGGTCTGGGCAATGTGTGTAGTGTAGCTTGATGATGCATTCGCACCACCTTTTTTTTCCATAACAATAATCAAAACATAGGATAAATTAACCATTTTTGTATGAGTAAAGTATGATTTAATTGTGTATCAAGAACCACATCATTTGCCCAACAACAACATGACATTACCCAACAACAACGCGACATTAGCTAACTTATCTTTGATCTAGAAGAAAGCGTTATTTCTACGATAATGCTACAAAGTGTGCCTAGTTTACAATTATGGTGAGAACATAATTTGAAAATTATTTTGCAAGGAAGCTTAGAATATCCTCATTCCCGAAAACTTCATTTTCAAGAAAACCATTGCTTGCTTTTGGTAGCTTTTGTGGTAATTTGTAATCAGAAGTATTTTCTATCCCATTTACATGTTGGTTCCATATGATCTTGTTGTAATCTTGGAGTATTACATATGGATTTACCTTTTTAACAAATGCTATGACTTTTCTAATATATGAATCAAGAAAACATAACATTTGCATATTCCTTACTGTGGCGTGGTGCAACTTCTGATGCTCTATAACAATCTTAATTCTCTCTTATCAGGGTCAATGGACTCAACTTCTCAAACGGGACATAATGGTGCAGATTGGCAAGAAGAGATTTATCTAAAAGTGAGAATGATTTATCAACTTGTCTATTATTTTAAATCTTATATGGGAAAAAAAATCATATTGATACATTGATGCTCTTTGTTTTTCTTACTGCTAGCACAGTTAGTGGATTTTTGTCATTTCTTCGGCAATATCTTAAAATGCAAAAATCTTTAGGTGAATATTGTTTGATTCCCTTCTTTAATGCTCCAAATGGACGAGACTCTTAGGGTCTCAAGTGGAATTCAATACCAAATTGTAATATTCTTGTCATCTCAGCGTTTATTTTTTTTCTGTTGTTTTGTCATCTTTTTATGAAAGGATTAGGGAATCAGACGTTTTAAAAAGGTTTTAAAAACCTTTCATTTGGGTGCCTGGGATATTCCACTTTGGTCTCTTCATTAATGTGACAATTGATGAAAAACAAAATGTACTCTTGTTGAAAATTTAAGTAACCTCCCTCTGCGTTCTAGTTCTCTTTTGCTTCCTTGTCCTTTCAGTCTTCTTGTTTGGAAATTGAAATAGCTAGTACCCAAGTTTGAGAAGCAAGTGGTGGAGAAGAGTGTGCCAATGGGAAAAACCTGGTTTGAGGAAGTTCGAAGCAAAGAAGCAGGTGCTGGCAAAGAAATGTGTCATTAAGTGGCGACAATGAAAAAAGACCAAGAAGATAAAGGAGGCTTACATTATTTAATATCTATTACTATAAAATATCTTGGCTACATAATAGGCGGAAGTTATTAGAAATCGTACGCTATTTTTTCAAAACCTTACTATTTTTTTTAGTTGTTTTTCTTTAATTAATCTAATAATTTAAGAAATTATATTCAATTAAAAAGTTATTTTCATAATTGAATTTAATAGAAAATTTAACACTATGAAAAAGACATTCGTGAAAAACAATAATTTAACTCACAGATATTGTCCATAAGAAAGTGGGAATAACATTAACAGTGGTGTTTTTTTAAAATTTGGATGAATGCGGGTGGGAATTGTGTCTGCTGCTTGGACCAAACTAATCTAGGCCTTCTGAGGAGTTGGCTGGTCCTCTTGGGCCATCGTAGTTATACTGTTGTTATATATTTATTTTCGGTAGTTTGTTGTGAGTTTTGTTTGTGATGGCCTCCGATGTCTTAGGCTTTCATTTCTAGGCATGTATCCGAAGGTCGAGTGGTGCTCTGGCTGCGTCTTATTTTTGAGGTGGTGATTATCCTTTCCCATCCCTCCACATCCTTCCAGATCGCTCCCTGTCACCCATCATTGTTGCAATCGCCTCGAATAACCATTTCCAATTGTTTTTCTGCAGTTCCACCCGCAGCCATCGCCTTCCCCTCCCTCCTCTTCACTGCCATTATTGTCCCAGCCCTTCATCTTCGCAACTGCTACTTTTCCAACCCTTCCTATTTGCTGCCATCGCTGTTGCAGCCCCTTTTTCGCCTTTTCATGCAACCGTCAACCTTCCTAGCTGCACTTACCATCTTTCGGTGCTGTTGCCTTGGTGTCCTAGCTGTCTTCACCTGCTACCACCCTCCCCCTTGCCACTTATTGCAGACCACATCCTTTCCAGCTGCCCCAACTCACTGCAGCGCCTCACCCACCGCACAAAAAACGCTCCCTGCTGCAATCAATACTCTCCAACACCACGTGTTACCCCTTCCAATCACCTACCACCACTTCCAGTCCACCTAAAGCCTTCCAACCCGCATAACCGACCACCATCTTTTTGGGATACAACCCTTGTTGGGTTTGTGTCGTGCTTGCCGTTATTTCTTATTTCAGTTATCTGGTTGTAATTCTCTATATGATTTCAGCAATAATATTTGTTTTCTTTATTATTTTTTGGTTAACTCTAGTATCATTTGGTATAAGAGACAGCTTAACACTAGTCCTGTCCTAGGATTACCTATCCACCAATACCTAGCCCAATCTCCACCCAAAAACTCATCTCTTCGATGATTTTTCAAATCAACCCCCAAAATTTTTTCTCCCATCAAAAAGCAATACCATACACCCTCTTTCATCCTAAACCTAAATCCTAGGCACACCACCGAGAAGATAATTACCAGAAACTGGATTAGAAGGAAACAACACAATGTCTCACAAAGAGATGTTCAAGAACCTACCATGGAAGAGGTGCAACATGAAATTCTTCAATTGTAATAGAGGCTCCCCGCTTTTGAGAGAAAACAATCTAGAAGGGGTCACTCATAGCCACAACAGTGATTCATCAAATCAAAAGGATGAAAAACCACTACCTCAAAAAATTGATATGGAATATTAGAGGAGAAGCCAAAATCTAGAAGTAAAGATAGATTTACTGGATTTTGACAGGCATGGAAATCTAGAAAAATTCATCAAGTTGTTCAAGGCAGTGGAGCAGGTCTTTGAATACAAGGATATTTCACAAGACAGAATGACAAAACTAGTCGTCATTAAGTTAAAGAAGAGTGCATTGCCGTGGTGTAAAAAATTTAAGCACCCGCGTCAATGAGAACAAAAAAATAAAATTATTACCTAGTCCAAGATGAAACGAGAGATGTAGCGCAAATAATACCATTTAATTACATACAAGACTTATTTTCTAGGCAACACCACATTGTGATCACCACATCTTATAAACATAGTTCAATCTCATGATCAAGCAGCAAGAGTACAACCAGTCGAGCATCTAAGCCAACACCGTCCGAGAAGAAACTAATTCAAAGGGGAGAATAGGTGGAGAATAACATTTAAAAATCCATCCCAGCCATAAAGTACGTCAATTATCATGGTTTTGGGCAAATTGCATCAAATTGCTCAAACGAGAGTATGATCAATTTTATTTAGCAAGGAGCAATTGAAGAAATGGAAGAGGACGCAGAAGACATTGAAGAAGGTGAGGTTCCATAGGAGTACCAACTTCAAATTGATGAGGGAGAGATGCACGTCATTGAAGCTGAGCTCATAAGAGAGACCCCAACAAGAGTAAATTTGATTGTCTAAGATTGTTATAAGTTCGAGAAATTGACACCGGAGATATGGTAACCACAAGAGAATTTCATAATTTTAGATATAGAACCTACCTCCTGAGTTATCTCTTATGATGGAGGTTCAACATGTCATAGATGAGAAGCTTTTGAGCTACTTATGGAAGACTATATGAAGTCATTTAGATATTAAATTAAGTTCAAGGGTGTACCCATCGATATATGTTTGAATGGGGGTTTGAACCACAACGTCGGAATACGCCTTAGGAGCATTTTAGGAAAGAACATCCTACAATGTTATCTAAGTTCCCAGAAAAAAAATGGGGCCCCTTATGATTGTTATTGAGAGTTGTCCAACATTCTACATATTTCATTTCAGAGTTAGTTTCTCTAGACAAATTTATTTATTGGATGCGTCCAGCCGAGTATAAGGAGTAAAAGGAGCAAATTATAGATTAATTTCTCGAGAGTTATTTTGTGAGAATTTATGTCTATATGCAGCTCCAACTCGGGTTGTGCCAAAAGATGACAAATACTTATCATATAAGGATATGTTTCAGAATGACAACGCCTGTAAGATTGACTTACCGTGAAGTTATAGTTGCTCTACAATGCTCAACATGGTTCACTTAACGTCATAATATGAGAAGGCAGAAGCTTCAGTAAATGAGATCGAAGCTCCCCAAACTTTAGGAGACTTACAGAAGTGTCCCACCCACAACATTAGATGACACGGGGTTGTGTCTGGTATATGGGTTGAACACTTCTGAGGAGTCAACCGGTGCTCTGGAGCCACCATTCTCTAGAGTAGATCTAAAACTGATTACATGGATGTAATTTTAGTAATTATAGATTCAGTGGCAGAGTAATAATAGGTGATCAAGTCATTAAATAGAATGAACGTTTTAGATATCTCAGATCTATTATTCAAAGTAATGGTGATATAATTGAGAATGTTATTAGTAGAATTAAATTTGGATTGTTCAAGTAGAGGAATTTATCAGCCTTATTTTATGATAGATAAGTATTGCTTAGTCTTAAGCAAAATTTTATAAAATGGGGGTGAGATTTGCAATGCTTTATGGTGCAGAATGTTTGCCTATATAAGAAAAACATAAAACTAAGTTAAGTGTTGCTGAGATGGGAATTCTTAGGTGGATGAGTGGTTTTACAATTAGAGATAAAATGCGAAACAAATATAATCGTGAAAGTGTTGGTGTAGCTCTAGTGGTAGACAAGATTAAAGAGAGTCATATTAGTTGGTTTGGTCACATTAAACACCGACAATCTGATGATCTTGTTAGTACGGTAGATGTTTTAGATTTGACTTAAGTTACGAAAGGTAGAGGTAGACCTAAAAATATTTGGGCATGTAGTATAAAAAATGATCTTAATCTATTAGAGTTAAATGAAAATGTAACACTCTACAACACACAATATAGAAAAATGATTCATATTGCCAACCCCACTTAGTGGGATAAGGCTTTTTGCTGCTGTCTTTTTGCAATACATTAATACATTCATGAACATGTGCAGGTCATGGAACTTTGTCTCCACATTCGTCTTTGTAAAACTCATTTTGTTATTCTTTTTAAAAGGAATTATTACCAAACTGATCAATAGTATTTTACCTTACCTAATGTTCCAACACGTTATTCAGATTCATCTAGTTTGGATGGGACGTCAGCTTAATTATCGATCAGGGGATGGCACTTGTGTTTCAAAATTTGAAACGTTTTGAATATTACCTGTAACTTTTAAACAGTTATGTCATATTTACTTTTTTATTTGTTTTATTTTTTTGCTTGTTCTCCAATTATGGGCGAATGCACGCAATAAGTTAGTATAGGGGAATTGAATACAATTTAGGAAAATTATGGATTCATCTTGAAAAATTTTATAAAAATCAAGGGTTTTAAGTACCAATCCTGAGAAATATGATAGTTTGTTCAGGTAATTAGGGATCTTTCAAAGAAAGTAAGGTATCAATTTAGAAAAAAAAATATTGTGTTTGTGATTTGTCTTTTGGAAGTTGCATTGAAGCCCCATGACGTCTTA